TACACACACACACATACACACATTTATAACACAAAAATATACAATAAAACCAAAAATTATAATAAAAATATAATTATAATAAAATTTATAATTACAATAAAAATTATAATCATCACTGTAACTTTAGGTAAAGTGTCCTTAATGTTCATGTGTTTATCTGATAATAATGACACCAGGTTGCTTTAGTGATCTGTCTGGATATTTGCCATGAGTCACAGAGACATGCAGAGGTTCTTCACGAGTTATGTTCTCATCAGCTGTGTTTTAGGTAGGACTGAAACAACGTGTTGTCCTGCAAAGAGGTTAATGGTTGTTACTCACTTGCTGAGGGGGTATCGGAGTGCACCGGTGGTGTCGAGGGGACAAAATTGGGGAAAAAGAAGGAGCGGAGTGAGTGATCGGAGTGGAGAGGAGAGCGCTGGGTTGGCAGGTTTTCACAGCTCCCAGCCACACTGCTGTGGATCTTCAGGTTCAGCGGCTTGTTCTTCTTTTTTGCTCTACAAAGAGAGTCAGAGGAAAAGACAAGATCACAGTGTTTACGATGTTGTATCTGGTTTCAAAACAACCACTTGCACGTCATGCTCCAGAAACAGATTTAGCTTCAAAACTCTGCATAGGTAAACCCGCATACACATGCATGCTTACATAAATTGATGTACTCAACAAAAAAAATTTTTTTTTTTTTTTATAAATTGCCTTGGTTAGGGTTGATTGAACATTATAACTAGTCACAGACCTATCCGTTTAGTGCATGAATGCAGTGCAGATTTAAATCAAGCTTTAGACCTGTTAGTAATGACAACCGAACCTAAAGAACATTTTATTGATAATTTTGGTAATATATATATATATATTTTTTTTGTGTGGATTTCTGACAAAGTAAAATTGCCTCTTTATAATCAAAAAGGAGTACACAGTGCAAAACAATAAAATAAAATAAAATAAAATAAAATAAAATAAAATAAAATAAAATAAAATAAAATACTGGAATGGAGCAAGGTGGAGAAGTTATTAAAATTTAAGATTATAAACTTTTTTTTTCCTTTGGAATAATGTGCACTGATGAAATGTACAAAATAAGTCAATAAAAATAAAATCAAATACAAATAATTTGCAAATAAAGCAGTGATTCATAACTGCTTCATTGATTATAATGCAATCTTCGTCAGAATACCTCACAAAACAAATATTGGCATTATAATGTAAATTATATTAATTAATGTAACCCAAATTATATATTTTTTGTCATAATCCTGTAGCCCTAAACTCATAAAAAGTCCTTTCATGCTACAGTTTTTGTTGCTGAATTGAGTACTTCTCAAATATCAGTAGGATACACACAATCTGTTAAACAATGTTGCTCACAGCATATATGAGAAACTGCTTATTTAAACACAAGTTTGCTTGTGAACTCAGGAAAGCTATTCTCCAACTGAGTCACACAATGAGAGATTTCTGGCTTCACACAATGAATAAACAGACCACAGGTTATCATGAGGACACAGTCAGCAATTAAAAAACACATTATAGCATTCAAATCCAATTAGATCCATTTATTTTCTGTGTGGGTGCATGTTTGCAAGGGCAGATGTCTTGCTGTTCAGAATATCCTTCTTTCTTCTCTATGAAAATGTCATCATGTCACCTTTCTCTTAACTTCATTAAGTCTATCATGTTTAATAATCAACGTAATAACCTAATAATGAAACAGACTTGGAAGCAACTGTGAGCGACTCTCACTGTCAGATCCAGATGCAGCTGATAATATGCATTCGCATGTGATCAAGTGCTACGCTTAACTAAGGCTTAACCACTTGTTTTTTACCTGTTTACAAGAATTTCTCAATACTGAGTACATTTTTTCAAAATACTTCACATTCCTCCAGCATGCACTTTCAGTCAGCAGTTTATTTTCTGTCAAACCATCAGAACATTTCATCAACCCATTCTACCATAGGGTAAACAGTTCCATGTGCAAAAAGGGGTTGTGCATTTTTACTAATGCAAAACATGAATTTTGCCAAATGTTCTCACTAAATCCATTTTGTATCAAAAGAAAGACAAAATAATGTACAGTTTAGTCCACAGACACCGCTGTTGTGCTGTCTGTATTGAGAAATGCACATAATCAATTGTTACAAAAAAAAAAACTGTATCCAAGATTTAAAGGGATAGTTCGTTCAAAAATTCTGACATTCTTCCAAACATGTATGATTTTTTTTTTTAGCTGTTGGACACAGAAGAAGATATTTTGAAGAATGTGGGTAACCAAGCAGTTGACGGTAGCCATTGACTTACATAGTATGGAAAAAAAACTATGGAAGTCAATGGCTACCGTCAACTGCTTGGTCACAACATTCTTCAAAATATCTTCTTTTGTGTTCAACACAAGAAAGAAACTCATACAGGTTTGGAACAAGGGGATGGTGAGTCAATGATTACATAATTTTCATTTTTGGGTGAACTATCCCTTTAACATGCAACACAACAAATGACCAGTAACAGCTAAACTACAGAATAAACTGCATGAATCTATCATATTGATATAACTATTTTTTTCTTCTTTCTTTTTTCCTCAAATCATCTTGCGTGCCAGATTGGACTCCTCCACAAGTCAAATTTGTGTTTGACAACCCAAATTTAATTTGTAACTAGACAGCAAAACAGTTTTCACCATATGAAAGAGCTTGAGTTGAATCAAAAGAAAAGTGTGGGCATCAAAACATCCCTGATTGGTGATTTCCAATGGTCAGATCATTCACTGAAACTACTTCTAAATGTAATAAATGAACAAATTGGATTTGATTTTACCCTGTGTAAATGTGGTGTCCTTTTGGTAAAAGCATTTATATTTATGAAGCTCTGAACTAGGATGGATAGACAGAAATGTCAACTAATAGCAAATTAAAAAGGAAACACTTACAACACGATGCAAATCATTAACAGATGAATGATTTTATGCCAAAAAAAGGAGGAAAGAAATTTATTGTTCAGCAATGGTTAGATATTTTTGGTGCATTGTGAGCATGTTTGTGTGTCTACCGCCGATAACAACAATGTGCAAGACTCTGAGAGCACAATGCATTAGTGTGTGGATTTGACAAATACTGACAGGTACAAGAGAAGCTTTCTTATTGTGCAGGAATAAGCAGAACGGTGAGGTGTGTGAACGCGAATGTGAAGAAAAAAGGGAGTCGGAGAACAGGAGACAAACAAACAGACAAATAAAGATGGATCAACAGAGTGACAGGCAGAGAAACTCTTCTTTTTTTATGCTTTTTGCTTCACTTCGTGGTCTCTCTCTTTTTTATTTCTTTTTTTTTATTGTGTCGTCTTGAAGTTTAAGGTTGGGTGTAAAGTTCCAAATAATCTGACAATTGCATCAAAATATTACACAGTTTGACATGAATGTTAAAACAAAACAAAATTTGATAGGGCTGTTAACTGATTAAAACTGGTAATTAAATCAAACATTTAAAAATAACCAAATCATTGAATAGACTTTACAAATAGTACAAATTCTAAAAAAAAAAAAAGTCTAAAATAATAAACCAGTATATTAATATCTTATATCCATGTTATTGAATATAACTTTATTACTCACCAACAGACTAGAGGAAAAAACATTATTGTCATGATGCATTTTTGAATGAAATTTGGGGAAACTATACCTGTAATTGTTAAATGAATAAATAAATAAATTCCATATAATTTAATATAAGTCTATCACTGACCTACAGATCACAAGAATAAATTGTATGTTTTAATGAACATAATTAATATATATATATATATATATATATATATATACACACACTGAGGGACAGAACTCCATCTTCTATCTATCCATCCATCCATTCATCCATCTTCTATCTATCCATCCATTCATCTTCTATCTATCCATCTTCTCTCCATCTATCTTCTATCTATTTATGCATCCATCCATCCATCTTCTCTCCATACATCCAACCATCCATCCATCCTCTGTCTATCCATCCATCCATCTTCTATCCATTCATTCGTTCATCTATCTTCTATCTATTCATCCATTCATCCATCTTCTGTCCATTAATCCATATTCAGGCTTTTTGAACTTTTTTCAAATAAGACTTTGTCAAGCCAACATTAAATTTTTTTGTAGAGAAACTTTGCTTTTCTAGATAGAAATTACAGTTATATGAATTTATTTGACTTTAGATTATTTTTTCTCCTTTCAAACTTGAAATACCTCCTTTCAAATTTCAATTTCAATTAGGTATTCTGTTTGCTACCTCAATTAAATTCAATAATTGGATTGAAATTCAAAAGGCATTCTCAATTAAATTGTGAATGGCACACAACACTATAATACACAGAAACACACTCACATACACACAATATCTGCCCATAAGCATCACATTAAAGAAACAAACTGCGGCTGGCCACTTTATATTGGTCAAATGGTTACTTTCTGCCTAAGTGGGCGGTTCTTATCTGGACTAAGCAGTAATGAGCAGCAGTCTTAATGCCCCTAGTCAGGTTATGTGAGTCTGCAGCATAATGCCTGCCGTGGACTCTCTCCTCAGTAAGACCAGTGCTAATAGGGAAGAACATGGAAAGTTAGGCTTCATTACACCTCACCTACACTCATTATTTGCAACTCTGCTCTGCAGAACGGAGGGAAAAATGTGTCATTGAGGTGAAGGAGAGGAGCAGGGGTGCAATTTAATTTATCTACTTAACAAGGTTTTATATTCAAGATAAAGCGCAAGAGACTCACAACACAGACCGTAAATGAGAACAAAGTGTATACTTATGTTCATGTGTGCAATTGTTATGCAAGATTATGAAAGAGTGAAAATGAAAACAAAAATTTACCATGGTAACCAGAGATTAAGAAAAAATGTCAATTAGCACAGCTAACAAAATATATTATTATTTCTCACACTTACTGTTTTTCAAAACACCTAGAAGTAACAGTAACTATGACATTTTGGCCGAAACTGTGGTTACCATGGTGAACTTTTGAAGGGAAAGAAAGGCTAATAACTCTGTTATGGCTTTTTCTTCTTTCTTATTAAAGGAATAGTTCACCCAAAAATTAAAATTTGCTGAAAATTTACTCACCCTCAGGCCATCCAAGATGAAGATGAGCTTGTTTCTTCATCAGAACAGATTTTGAGAAATTTAGCAATACATCACTTGCTCATCAGTGGATCCTCTGCAGTCAATGGGTGCTGTCAGAATGAGAGTCCAAACAGCTGATGAAAACATCACAATAATCCACAAATAATCCACACAACTCCAGTCCATCAATTAAAGTACTGTGTTTTCAAAAACTACATGTTTGTAAGAAACAAACCCATCAAGACATTTTTAACTTCAAACCGTTGCTTCCGTCTAAAATACGAGTCCTCTATCCATAATATTGCTTTATCCAGTGAAAAAGTTGTCTCGTCTGAATCAGGAGAGAAATATGCACAGATTAATGGATTTTAAAGTGGATTTTGATGTGAGA